TCATTCTAGAGATATCTTCAAACACCCATCCATCCATCCACATCACATCCATCTAAACATTCATATATAATATTAGTAAGTTAAATAAAAGCAGCTCTTCAAGGCATAGATTCGAACAAAACTGTATCCTATGTCCTTCTCCTGGCTCTAAGCTACCTCCTCACCAATTTTCAGGCATATCGGTAAAGCCGTTCTTGAGTTATAAACAGTGTAGTTACACTTCGAATTTATACCTTGAAGAGCTGCTTTTCCACGACGGAGTCGCGGGCGACAGCTAGTAATATTATAAATGCGAATGTTTAGATGGATGTTTCTTACAATGTATCTCCAAAACGGCTGTATGACTCTTAATGAAATTTGTCATACATATAGAACATAGTCTGGAAGAACATATAACCTACTAATTAAGTTTTTTTTTTTAATTTAGTACAGACGGAGTCACGGGCGACAGGTAGTTAGTTATTTGATTAATTTTACTTATTAGTAGATAAAACAACTACAAAATAATAATGAAAAGTTTCAAGATATTAATTACTAGACTCGGCCTTCGTCCAAGTTAACTTAGTGAATCTGTTCGGAGCTTATCCAATACAAACAAACAAATCCTTTCTCTATATAATATTAGTATAGATTTAGTAAAATTACCTAATCAATGGATGGATGGATTTGTTAGAAAATAACTCTAAAAAGACTAAACAGATCTAAATAAAATTTAACACTGATATAAAGTCTGGAATAGATCGTAGAGTACTAAGTTTTTGTTTTAAATTAAAAATAAAAAAAAACAATAAAAATCACTTACTCATTAGGATATTCCTGATTACAGTATCTACATTCAACTATTTTTGGTTGAATTAAATCATCGAAATGTACACTTTCATATTCTTCATAATCACCATTTTCCGCTTCGGAAGTATCAAAACCCTTTGATCCGTTTTTCTTTTTTCCTAATATGTATTTATTTTTCATCAACGGTCTATCATCAGATATATCTAGAGCTAAATTATTTTTCACTTCAGAGTTATTTTTCACTTCAGAGTTAACTTTCACTTCAGAGTTTACTTTCACTTCAGAGTTTACTTTCACTTCAGAGTTATTTTTCACTTCAGAGTTGACTTTCACTTCAGTATTATTATTAATATTAAAATTATTAATTTGTAAATTTTCCAAATTAACATTCACATGACTATTAAAACCATTTAATAGAACAGTTGTATTACTTATAACATCGTCTTCAAATTGTATACGATTCCTTATTTTTATATGTTTATCATTTTTTATATGTTTCTTAATATGTATTTTATATTCATTATGTGAATTAAAATAAAATAAACATTCTTTACATCTAATAAGTTTTTGATTTATTAGAGGTATTATAATATGAGTTGCATTATGAACTAAACATTTATATCTGTAAAAAAAAAACAGGAATATTAATGGATACTATTAATGGATGGTTGAAGATATCTCCAGAACGACTTAATCTTGATGAAATTTGGCATACATGTAGAATATAATCAGGAAGAACACAGGCTACCGGGCGATAGCTAGCCATCTGCAAATACATAACAGTGGTACCCGCTATATCTTCATAAATTGGCCGGTTCAACCGATGCAATAACACAATCACATCCGGAATTGCAGATGTATTGTCTACCTTTAAGTAAGGGACCCAGAGAAAAATAGCATTATCCCTTCTGATGCATCCCCTAATCTGTCAAATCTATTTCCCTTTCCTATTCTTTTCCTATAGCAAAAGGCAAGGGAAAGAGGAGTAAAATTAAGTCTCCGGGACACACACTCATCAGACTGTAGATGAAATTGCTTCCACTTGAGGCGTTTTCTGTGTGTCCATTCATGCAACAGATGTGGTGTGAAATATACCCAATTATAAGAGAAGATTCTATAAACCACATTAAACTTGTTACATACAAGCGCAATAGAGCGTCGGTGGCTCAAGGGTCAAGCACTTGACTTGCAATCTGCAGGTCCTGTGTTCGAATCCCGCCATGTACCAATGTGTTTTTCCATTTCCGATTTATATATGTACACTTATACGACGTTACGGTGAAGGAAAACATCGTGATGCTGCACATATCTGAGAAGAAATTCAATGTGAGAAGTCAACCCGCACTTGGCCAGCGTGGTTGACTATGGCCTAATCATCCTTAACTTAGGATAGGCTCCGAGCTCAGTGGGGATGTATAGTGAGCTGATGATGATGATATACAAGCAATTACTTTACTACTAAATGAAATAATAAAAATCTTAATAATTTACACTTACTTGTTTTTAAATACTTTATCACAAAATTCACAATGGTTAATACTTGGTTGACAAAGTGTTTTATAACTGTTCTGGTCATCGGAACACTTTGAAACTAATTTCAATGGTAATTCATCTTCACTTGAAAAAGAATCATGTCTTCTACTTAATCTCATGCTGAAAGAAATAATTTTTTTTATAATTAAATAATATATGAAAATATATATTTTACTAATATTACGGTGAAGGAGAACATAGTGATGCTGCACATATCTGTGAAGAAATCCAAAGATATGTGTGAAGTCAACCCACACTTGGTCAGCGTGGTTGACTCTGGCCTAATGACCCCTAACTTAGGGTAGATTCCGAAACCCTCAGTTGGGATGTATAGTAAGCTGATGATTACGATTCCATCCAACAGAATTAACAAACAAAAACATAATTAGTAGCCAATGTGTTCTTCTAGACAATGTTCTATATGTATGCCACATTTCATCGTGATTAGGTCACCTGTTCTGGAGACACCTTCTAACAAACATCAATCTAAACATTCGCATTTATAATATTAGTAAGAAAATGCCAATGTTTGTACGTGTAGAGGTATGTCCAGAACATACTTCATGAATTTCAATTATATTTAGCATAGATGTAAAACAGTCTGGAAGAACAAATAGGCTCTACATATGATCCTGGAAAAATGTATAGTTCCCATGGAGCATCTTAGTATTTTGTAATTATGTGTCTAGAACTTTCTGAGATGATATTTGCCCCCCACCCTTCATCCTTGGCAACGCCAATTGGCTGCTTATCATATAAACAAGTTACTCTAATGGCAAGCATATAAATATTTCGCTAGCAAATATTCGCTACAACATTAAGATACTACAAGTGTATAGAAATTGTGACAATTTTGCAAGAATTGGCAAATTTACTGCACTAACCGTGGGTTTCCGAGACCAATATTACATTTTAAAACTGTTATCTTTGTTTTGTCAAAGACAAAAGAGATGACAATATTATACAGCGATTTATCAAGTAATTGGTTAATTAATTATTATGGGCTTTTGCATAGATTTATTATAATCACTAAGGGACCATTTAACATCTGCGCAGCATTTAATATTAATGAGAAAAGTTGAATTACAGGTAATTACAGTGAAAGGGATTACTGAAGGATAGTAGTCTTTCCATAATGGTACAGTTCAACTTGGATACGCGAGAAATTTCTATAAGCGAGAGATATACAAACAGACAACCTCCATAAGCGAGAAACCTCTATAAGCGAGAACATTTCAAATCAATGGACTCTTGCTTATTCCTGTATGTAGATTTTTTTATATTACAAGGTGGCAAACGAGCATGTCAACCTGAAACAACGAAGCTTTGCCCATAGACAAACACTATGCAGATACATTGCCTACCTTTGATCGACAGAGGAGGGGATGCACAGAAGACAATAAGATACTAATAAGAATATACTAATAGGCATAGAATATGTAAGAGAGAGATAAAAGTATTTGTTTCTCTACTTACAATATTTCAAAGGCTATTTTAATTAGAAATGCTAACCAGGTTGGTAGTCTTATGGCTACTAGGTAGAGAGAAAACAGAAAGAGGATATGCATTAAAGAGATATAGGGTACTATTCTTAGGGAAGGGTAATACAGGTATAGTAGTGTGGTTGTATTGGCACTAAGGATAGAAAATATACTTGTTACTAATGTGCCAACTAAAACACTTGGTATAATAATTTTTTTAACTACAAATTATTTATCTAGAATATTTAAAAAAAAAAGTAAAGTCTTCTAAATGAACCCTTGAACAATATTGTGGCAAAGTAGTGATAAAAATTCAAACTTTCTTACTATAATATTATAAATGTTAATGTTTAGATGGATGGATGTTTGTTTGAAGGTATCTCCAGAACGGCTGAACAGATCTCAATGAAATTAGGCATACATATAAAACATTGTCTAGAACACATAGGCTACTAATTATTTTTTTTTAATTCGCGCGGACGGAGTCGTGCGCGATAGCTAGTGTTAGAATGTAGAAATGTGGTGTAGAAAATTCAAATTATTGAAGTATAAATTTATATACAGCCAGTTATATATATATATATAGCTTTCAAAATAAAATTTTAAAAATGATAAAAATACATTTCTAGTGTATTCTATATTCAAAAAAATAATAATATCCTTACATTTCTATTTTTAAAATTGTAATCAATATTACACACTATTTTGACTAATTGAGCTCGTATACTTAAATATGAGGGCTTCGAGGTTACAGGATAAAAATCAATACTTATTTCTATAAATAATTAAAGTGTAAATGTAAAATTGTAACTGAAATTGCTGAACAGTCGTCGATCATTGTTTGACTTTGACACGTATAATATTGTTGCCAGACGAAAAAACATTTTTACATTTGGAATAGTTTTTATCGCTTGATTTAAACCTTTGAGCAAGAAAATGGAATCTGAAAAAACTGAATTTTTGAAGCTTACTCTGAAAATTCAATGGTAAAACTTCAAAACAGAAACCTAAAGAAATACGTGCGATAATTCCTGTGTTTTTTTTTCATCTTTTATGTCTTTTTTATTTTGTATCAGTGTAAGTTACTTTAAACGAAACGAAACATCAATTGTCAAAATAATGTCACAATCACACGTCAACAAGCCGTGTTTATTTTGATTTTCAAAATTAAAATAATTACTATAATTATAAAGAACTGATATTCGTTACCACTTTTAAAGTATAAAAATTATGGTATGTGCAAGCCTTGTTCCAACAATATAAATTCGTCATGTTTTTATTTGATTGCAAAATCGTCTTTATTCCAGGACTTAAAAACGTTTGCTGACGACGACTTTGATCCTAAACAGTGGATTAATAGAGCTTGGAGTTCTAGTGGTAATCAAGAGAAAGAGGTAACATTTTGTTATAATATAAACATCAACAAGATATTTCTCTATCTCAATTTCAAAACACACTATTCTCCACTACACGTCCAGCAATTACATAGCCAGGTTAATCCGGATCTGCTTAATATACTTTTGAACATGGATAATCTAGAGTCATGGTCCAGCCTTGACAGACAACCACTATAAGTGAGAAAAATATTGCGATCTTCTGGACTCTCACATATCCAACTTCAACTTTATTCTAAGAACGAAAAAACACAATTTATGCTTAAGATTTTACTTTACTCACATTTATGAAAGATCATGTGAGAGTTTACATAGTTTAAAATATTTCCAGGACTTTGTAACCAATACAGTAACAAGATTACAACTTTATATGAAGCAGCTGAGTAACTCATTGGATGAAACAACCACACATGTAAGTTAATATTATGTTAATTATGTTTTTCTAATATAGAAACTTGTACAAAAAAAAAATAATTTCGGTTTTATAGATTACTAGCTGTCGCCCACGACTTCGTCCGCGCGGGATTATAAAATATATGTTGGCCGATTGTCAGAGCTACTCAATATGCTCACAAAATTTCATGAAAATCGGTCAAGCCATTTCAGAGGAGTATGGGAACGAAAATTATGACACGAGAATTTTATATATAAGACTAGCTCCTGCGACTCTGTCTGCGTGAAATTAAAAAAGAATTCAATAAGCTTAAGTGTTCTTCCAGACTATGTTCTACATGTGTGCCAAATTTCAGCAAGATCCATGTAGCCGTTATGGAAATACCTTCTAACAAACATCCATCTAAACATTCACATTTATAATATTAGTAAGATGTGTGCTAGTATAGTTATGTGCCATTAAAAAAATTTTGTAGTTTGTGAGTTTTAGAGTTAATTGTAGTTTATCTATTGTTTTTAGAAACAGGATGATTTTTTGTTTGATGTTTGAAGCTACATGTTTAATTCCAGATAGTAACATCAGTACCAAGGATCTTGCAAGATGCATCCACGCTGCAAGTGGAAGGTACGTTATTGCAGCAAAAGCTGTTAACCTTGGAAGACCAGGTGCAAGGTGTGGAGCGGCAGACAGGACAGTCTATTGAAAGTCTGCAGAGGATTGATAGATTGAAGAGTCGGCTTGAGGTAACAAATATGATTTGTAAATTCACAATCATCAGCTCAGGTTTGGAACCTACACTAAGTTAGGAGTCACTAGGTCATAGTTATTGCAGGCCTAGTGTGTGACTTTACACATATCTTTGATATTTCTTCACAGATATGTGCAGCATCATGATGTTTTCCTTCGCCTTAATGTACATAAGTAAATGGAAAACGCATTGGTACATGACAGGCAAAACCCAGGACCTGCTAGTTATAAGTCAAGTGTTTTAACTCCTGAGCCATCGATGTTCTGTTGTGAAATGATGTAGAGCTATCTAGAACTTTTGACTATGCCCTAGTCACCTAACTTAGGGTAGGCTCCGAACCCCACAATGGGTGCGTATAGTGAGCTGATGATGATCCAGTGAGTTTATATAATAGACAGCAGCCTCAGCTCTCCGTGAGGCAGACAAATGGGCGGCATTAGCGTCCGCATTGGAAGATATCTTGGAGACAGGTGTGCCAACTAGCGGGGACAAGTTGGCAGAGTTGGCGGAACAGGTGGCGGCAATGACTGCTAGTCTTGAGGTATGTGTAGATGGATTATGATTTTTATAGAATGGGGTCTGTCCTAGTGTGTACAATTTCGTGACCCCCTAACAAATTTGGGGGGTGGATGAAGGTAAACGAATATCAAATCTTTACATTTTTAGCAATAAAAATATAGCGGAACTAATAAAAAAAAACAATGACCACCTAATAATATACCGTTTGGGGGTTCTTAGTTGTGATTAATCATTAAAAATCTCTTACAAAGTTTTAATTTTTTTTAAAGACCCCCTAAACTTTATCAGTGACCCCATGACTATTGAGAACTATATTTATAGTCATAATGTTGTTATAAAGGTACTAAGCGATGCTCCTGACTATGAATACAAACGTGTCCAATTAGAGACATTGTATAATAGACTGGAGGCGGCTGTTAGTTCGCCGTTTATTGACGCTCTCACGCAAATGGATGCTGGTAAGTGTTGCTAGTTTTTTAATTTTTATAAGTTTAAAGACACATCTTACTTGCTAATATTATAAATGTGAATGAGATGGATGGATGTTTGTTTGAAGGTCTCTATCAGCCGTCATATCGTAATCTACCCGCTTCCTACGTGTAGCATTCGTTGCGTTATATTTGGCTCGTTCACGCCCCCTCTCTCCGGCATGTGCCTTTCGCGTGTACGCTCGAGACAAACAACACTACGTTTATGAATACATTACACTACGCTTATCCTTTTTCTCAAAATCCATACTTTCTTTGGTCTTGTAGCCATCCAAATTCAATCTCATTACTTTATATGATGGTGTATAGATCGAACTTCATCATACGTAAATGTATATCGGGCGATGCAACGCGGTCAGTCCGCGGCACGTTGTTGGAGGCGCGCTGCGGCTGCGCGTGCAGGAAGCGCATGGCGACGCGAGCACACACACACTATACGTGTGCTTGCCGCGACTGTACTTGACGATGGAGAGAGACAGGTATAACAAGAGTGAAAGAGATGGTTATATTTCTCATTATCTGTTGTTAGTTCATATAGTACATTTGGGGGTTCGAGTTTAAGTTCCTTGGCCTCAGTCAACTACTGCCTTAAGTACATATAAAAACAATACAGTGAAGTTCTTTGTGTTTTCCTTTAGTGTCAAATTGCGTAATATAGTTTGGTACATAACAGATGTTGGACCCAGATCTGTAAACTTGACTACTTAAGAGAAGACGAACTTATGGGAAGGATAAAGAAGTTTTTGCGGGTTAAAGAAGCTTGCTTATCGATTGAGTTAAATAATGCCTTTAGAAGCATTTAAAAGCTTAATTTCAAAGTAGCAGTCTGTGTATGTCGGCCTTTATCTTTCAGGTGGAATGGTTATCGTCAGTATTAAAGTCAGAGACTCCTCTAGCGGAGATAGTGAGGCTGTACACGGACTTATTGCTGTCCCTAGATCCCTCACCTACTAAGGTAAATTAAAAAATTGTATTATTTTGGAAATGCCAACTATTTTTGACCACCACTTTACAAGTTTCACAGTATTTAAATATATAAAATGAATAAGAAATTAGTGTTTTATAAAAATTAAAAAAAAAATTCAAAGATTTTTATCGTAGACCCCATATTTTTGTATATTTTAACTGCATAGCATTAACTACTTTAACTTTGGAATCTTCAAATTTCCTGCCGATCGTGAACCCGGGGTCTTGACCACTTTGGAAACCACATAAGTAATGTTCGCTCTACTTCAAACTATTTTTAATATCTTTAGGTAGTCTTGGCTAATTTTAAATTATGCCAAAACCCTGAAGAAGGTATGGCTCTTTTAGAAGACTTGAAAAGAGACATTGATGAGTTTGTGTCATGTATTAGAGCTATTATAGATGCCCCCAGAACAAATAAAGGTAAGGAAATGGGTTAAAACAACATATTGTATTTAACAGTGGTGCAGACCAGCAATAACACACAATGTCTGCCTAGCTAGTGTAATATCACGACCACACAGAAGACACAACTCAAGTGGAAGCAATTCCAACTAGTCTGATGAGTGTTCCGGAGGCTTTTTTCTTTTCCATCCATATTTTATAAGGCAACGATGGGAAGGGGAAGTCGATATGATGTAGACGACTCATATGAAGGGGACATATTCTCTCTGTGGGCCCCCTTCGTCGATTAAATGTACACATCTGCAATTATGGATGTCTATGGGTAGCGGTTACTTCGCTGTTTCGGCGAATCCAGGTGTACACTTGTTCGTTGTCCAACTAATAATATAAATTAAATAAAAATTGACGTCACGTGAAAGTGTATTGCCAAAATAATATTTTATAGCCAAAAATATATTATATCTTTCTCCTGATTTTGTATATTTATAATTCTTTCTCCTAGAAACTCTTCCTACTAATACTCTGAAAGAGTTAGGTCGTGCAGTGTACCAACCTCTCAGAGAATTGATGCCAAAGTACACAGACCTGCAAATACAATTATTTCAAGCTAATCTAAACGATCATCAATTAAAACAGGTAATTAAAACATACCACAGATTCTCAAACTTTTATCAATGAACCCCCTTACTATAACTTAAATCAATATTTTTTCTTCTATGTTGTGGAAAAACCAGAGATTCTAAAATTTTTTATCAAGAGACCCCTTATGAAAGTGGTTTTTGGTGAACCTTTTCTGTAGATTTTTGGGGGTCCTTGACAACTTTGAGAATCACTGGATTAGTATAATAAAATTCGTTGTAATACACAATACTTTAACTAATAGATTTTCTTTAAAAAAACCTAAATTATACGTTTATTTCTGTAACCAGTAGAAATATTTGTCAATTTTTATGACATTTTTCTTCAAAATTCTAGTGCTATGTTTGGTATTTTAGGATGAACTTCTAGAACATTCTAGAGCATTGCTAAGTGTGGCAGAGCGTTGTGAGGTCTGGTTGAATACAGCGTATGCTAGAGGGAAGAAGATAGCAGGCAATGCTGTACAGCCTTACTACATCCCTGCTGTTGAGGTAATAATAAAATATATCTTTGTCTGTGTCTTTTCAGAGAGAATAAAAGAGACGGCAATATCTTTTTTGGACCTTTGCATCAGTACAAACCTATAGTACTGTTTGTTTGAAATCTTATCGACTTGTTTGCACCTTTTACCGTGGTTTTCTGTGACCAAAATCTTTGTATAACACGACGTAGACATACGAGGAATTTTGGACTTACCGTGGGCTGCTGAGACCAATATCCGCATTCAAACCATATTGTTGACGATATGTTTTATACAGAGATTTTGGTCTCAAAAACTCATGGTTAGGCAAAAACATTGCTTTCTTACTCGATGTATTTCGCTATTTTGGTAGTTGGCCAACTTTTGTAATTAAAAAATAACTTTTCTATCTAAATGGTCACTAACTTAGGGTAGGCTAAGAGCTCAGTGGGCTAGTATAGTAAGCTGATGATGATCTAAAAATTAATGCCTCCCGCAGGCACTAGCATCATCAATCCTGTCGCTAATATCATCACACAGTCGACGAATAGAGACGCACTTCTTATCCTCTGTAAGTTCGGGCCAAAGCGCCGGAGTGCTCAGTGAGAGCTTTCCAGCGGCACTCGCGTTAGAAGCTGCAGCAGCTGAGCTCCTGAGGGTACTGGCTGCTGGATTGGAGGAAGGTAAGAAATGTTTTATAGGTCAGGGAGGAAGGTGAGAGATGTGTACCTAGGTCTAGCTTAAAGGCGTGAAAGTTGCTTATTTTCTGATTTCTACTGTCGTTATCATATTATCTATGTCTGGAAGTGAAAGCCTATGTATATCTTTTATAATCTCATCTATTTGCAAGAAAACATTCATCTATTTAAATTCACTATAATAAATAGCTTTTGCCCGCGAATCCAGCCGCGCGAAATTAAAAAAAATATAATTTGCAGTCATATTTCACCATTTAATAAATTAGTAAAAATTTGTAAAATTTATAAGAAGACCAGCAGCAATTATACTCATAATTCTGTACCAAGTCTTCAATACCTCCAGGTGAAGACCCAGATCATCCTCTCCTGGACCTTAAGAGTTTACTTCTGGACGGTGAGGTATCACCACCGCAGCTGACCTCAGTATCCGGACTGCAGAGAGCCAGAGAACAACTCAGGTCACTCGCCAGAGCTGTTCTGAGGAACCCAGTGGATGTACAACTTGGTATGAATTACTATGCTTGGATCGAGACAAAATTATATCTATAATAGCGTTCGCCTGTCTTGTCAGAATGGAATTTAAAAAAATACCCCGAATTTAAAAACTTCTATATATGTTAGCTACTTTCCAGTAAAAGTTCCGTTAAAATTGGACAAGCGGTGTCGGAGATAAACATTAAGACATTATTAGTAGCCTATGTGTTCATCCAGACTATGTTCTATCATCATCATCAGCTCACTACACGTCCCCACAGAGGGGCTCGGAGCCTACCCTAAGTTAAGGGTGATTAGGCCATAGTCAACCACGCTGGCCAAGTGCAGGTTGACTTCACACATATCTTTGAACTTCTCAGATATGTATGTGCAGCATCACGATGTTTTCCTTCACCGTAAGAACGTCGGAAAAATGTACATATGTAAATGGAAAATCGAAAAACAAATTGGTACATAACGGGATTCAAACCCAGGACCTGCAGATTGCAAGTCAAGTGCTTGACCACTGAGCCACCGACGCTCAACTATGTTGTATATGTATGACAAATTTCATCGAGATAGAGTAAGATATTATAAATGCGAATGTTTAGATGAATGTTTGTTTGAAGGTATTTCCAGAACGGCTTAGCGGATTTCAAGTCGCGGGTGACAGCTTGTGTTATAATATTAGTAAGATTATTAAGGTTTATTCGCTTTCTAATTTGCTACATTCTAATGTAGAAGTTTTTTTTTCAGATAAAATACCACAATTGTCAGTTTGGCACAACAATGATGCGTTGTCAACGGATTTGCCAGATTTCGCTTTATCTCCACAAGAATATATTACAGAGGTAAAATTTTATAACAACAAAGGTAGAGGAAGACCAAAGAAAGTATGTATGGATTGTGTGAAAGAGGCTTCCAGATGTATGGAAGATTACATACTATGACAGTATTCCGTAGACAAAAGGGTTGGACTAAACATTAAAACTAAAAAAAATAAAACGTAGATGTCGCAAACGACTCCGTCCGCTAGGAATTTAAAAAAAACATAGTAACCTATGTGTTCTTCCAGACTATGTTTATATGTATGACAAATTTCATCAAGATCTGGTCAGCTGTTCTGGAGATATCTTCTAACAAACATCCATCTGAACATTCGCATTTATAATACTAATAAGATAGATTTGCTAACTAGCTTTTACCCGTGAATCCGTTCGCGTGGAGTAAGTTCCCTTCAGCTATTCTGGAGATCTGATTACAATTATCCATCCAATGTAAAAAAAAAATACATCCGACCTTAGACTTAATTAATTTCAGTAGTCCCGACAACTGTGTTCCTGGTAATCGACTTTCTATTGTATTTCTTAATAATTAAATGGGTTAAAATTGATTTTTTAGATTGGCCAATATTTAATGACATTACCACAACATTTAGAAATGCATTTACCAGAGAAGCAAGCGCCATGGCAGTTCTTGTCTGAGGTAATTTTCTATTAAGTACTTAATTCTTACAGTGACCCCCAAAGTGATCAAAATTTGGGGGTCCAGGTTTATCAGCTTACTGCACCCGCCTGTCTTGGATCCTAAGTTAAGAGTCTAGTTTGTGTTTTATAAATATGCAAAGGGTGTTCAAGGATGGGAAATGTTAGGGGTCAACAAGTTAAATGTTTAGGGCAGTGGTTCCCAAACTTATTTCGTCTACTGCCCACTTTGAGAATAAATATTTTTTAGCGCCCCCATATTTTCACATATTTAAAAACCATTATAACTTCAAATTAAATTCATTATTGTGACCTATATATGTATATTAACGGAGAATTGTAAAGAAAACTTTTACTATAACCGGCAACTTGAGACCTGCAGCACACACAAGGGGACGTTATCGCACACTTTGGGAACGACTGATTTAGGGGGTTCACCCAAAATTAGTCGCAAAAGTTTGAGAATCACTGTTCTAGATGAAATTGGTAGTTATTTTTTTGTGTTTGTAGGTTTGTTCTCATACATGCGAAGTATACGCGGAGAAAATATTAAATGTAAGAAATATGGACGCTTTGGGTACTAAACGATGCCTCACTGATATTGGTAAATATAAAAAAAAAATTATATTGGATTTTTTTTTAAATCTATTTATTTGATTTATATTTTTATTTTACAGTATATTTGTCAAGTGTGGTAGAAGATTTGGGTACTAGTATTACACCAGCTCTAAAGAATTTGGAGAAATCTCTCCGAGCAGCTGCACCTGGTCAAACTGAATAATTCATCAGCTCATACTCCTCGCTGAGGGTCTCGGAGCCTAACCTTAGTTAGGCTATAGTCAAAGCTTGCCCAGTGCATGACTTCACATATATCTTCTCAGATGAAAGATAAATGTACCTGCATATTTATGGAAAAACACATTGGTACATAGTGGGATTTGAACCCTGGATATACAGATTAGAAGTCAATTGCTTAATTCCAGAGCCATCAACACTCTTGTTAGTTAGATAGTTTGGAAACTATTTTGTATATAATTTGACTGTTTGTTATTTAAAATACAAATTAAAATATTTATAAACTGTGTTTTTATTTTGGAACAATGTCTTTTGTTATTTAGTTTAAATTGAATAGCTGTTACTTTATGTTGTCTGTGCATAATAAAATAAAATTAGTATACAATGCCAGACACTAATTCTATGTCTATGGCTAATTTCATTTAGATCTGTATATTTTGTTTTATATCGTAAGGTGACAAACGAGCAAGCAGCCTCCTGAAATTGCTGAAATAGCGAAGTGACCGATGCCCATAGACATATGCAATTGTATATGCATTGCCTACCTTTATTTCACGGAGGAGAGGATGCACAGAAAGAAAATATTTTCCCTTTCCATGCATCCTCTGATCCGGAAAGTTCACTTCCCATCCTTTCCTTATAAGAAAAAGAGTGTGAAGTGGAAGAGGACTAAATTAAAAAACACGGAGTTGCTTCCACTTCACTCAAGCATCCAACCTAACTTTTGCATTTATAATGTCGTGTTTACATTATGCCAGTACAGTTAGACAGTGGTGCTCAAAATAAGCACTGGCACACAATTGGAATAAAGTAAACACTAACCTTGTTGATCTAAATGAGGCACAAGTAAGAAGGTTGTTCATTGTTCTTGTCTAGTAAAGAGAACTAATAAGAAAAACTAATCTTTTAAGAATATATAAATTTTAATTTTAACTAAATCACAATTCTTATAACATATTTTTAAACATAACTATATTCTAACTTTTAATAAAATCTTAAACAAAAGTTAATCATCCCATATTTCATGATGAGGGTCTGTTTCTGGTAAGTAATCTTTCTGTAATATAGGTTTTGGTGTGTGCAGCATTACTGTGGTCTTCCGATTAATATCTTCAGGGAAAATGGCGCTCTTTGATGGACAATTCATGACATGGTGTTTCATTTCTGGTTCCGGTAGCCTATGGGTAGCGTTATACGGGCAAATGTTAAGAGATTCTTTCTTCTCGCATTTCACAATGTGAGCTTGGATACGCGATCTTGGTACACGATGAGAGATGTCATATGGGCAGGATACGAATGGGTCGTTCATTTTATGTGCAAATATTTCTTTACAATGAAACTTAACTTGAGAAAGTGTTATAAAATACTAATGCAAGTTCAGATGTTAAGAATAATTAGATCAGTTAAATATAGAACTTTACAAGTTCAGTTTAATCCAAAGATTCGTCTATAAATACTCAAATTAAGAAATTTTTGAAATAAGTTTGCAAACATAAACAAAAGCAATGTCAATGTCAAATTGTCAAAAACAAAATATCGCCAGCTTGAGTGTTGCCAAATGACGACAAACCTTCTTGTAGATTTAACTAAAATTACGAAATAAAAAATTGTTTTTGTTTGGCAAACCTCATTCATTAACTGAAATAGAACAACATAGTTATAATAAAAGTTGTCAGTTATCATGTTACTCGTAAAATACTTTTAGAAAGTAACAAAAATTAAAATTAACCCGGAAGTTTTTAACTACTCTCATGGTAGCTTTTGGTTTAACGGCTATCATCACCACTTGTCATTGTCATTTAATTTTTGTAAACATTAATAACGATATTTATTTTATTAAGTTTTTCTTTGCCTACGTTTACAATAATTTTAATTTATTAGAATATTATAGAAGTTTAAAGTGTTATCAGATGTTATGAGTAGTTCAAATAAACGAAATGAGAATATGGAAAGTACGTGAACACTTGCGATTAAAATACTTTTGCCCTATTTTTTTTTATTGCTTTTAAAAATATACTTGAGAAAGTTCTTTTAGTAAAATAATCGTTTTACGTGAATATAAATACTTTTTTAATAATTTCCAGGCAATATTGCAGCAAAAAGAGTTAAAGCAGAATGCTCTTACGGAGAAAGATGCTACAGACTAAACCCGGCACATTTCCGGGAATTCAGTCATCCACACTGTTAGTAATAAATCTTACTAATATTATAAAAGAAAAAGATTAGATGGATGATTGTTTGTTAAAAGGTATCTCTGGAATTGCTCAATGGATCTTGATGTAATTTGGCACAGATGTAGAATAGTCTAGAAGAATACATATGCTCCTTATAAGATTTTTTAATATTCCGCACGAACCGAATTGCGGACCACAGCTAATAAGATAAAAATAACTATAAAGATTATATGAACAGTCACATTCTTTGTAGGTGTTAAAGTTTCAGTAAAAATGCTATTCATCTATCATTAAACTTTTATATAATGAATTCGAGTAAAAATATGTAGCAGCAATGTGCTAGGAGAATAAAAAAGGGAACATAAATTTAATGAACAATTTTTTTTCAGTGGAATCCATACTTGATAATTATAGTGGTGAAGGTGAATATCCAATTCCATCAACGATGCAAGCACAACGCATCTTGATATCAGATCAACTTAAAATAATAATAGAAAAGGGACTTTATACAGTGTCAAAGAATTTTATACAAGAAAGTACAAGGTAAGTTCCTTTCACATTTGCTGGCCGTTGGTTGTAAATTAAAGAGTAAAAATATAAATTTTGAGTTTGGAATTTAAAAATTACAGAATCATACCTAAAATTATATTAGTATTTTATTATTTTTAATTGTTTTTGTGTACTCTGTTTGTGTGATTTATTTTCTAAAGCAGAAATTTTTTGTTTTTTTTTTTGTAATGCTTTTTTGTTTTTTTTTGTAATGTCAGTAACACAAAGACATAGAAATATAAAGAGGTAAAGGCGCAAAAATATGTTTTGTATGCATGAAGTTTGCCTTATTAAAGATAAAAATTAAAAAAAATATTTTCTTTACAGTACACAAACTAAAGAAAAGGATTTAAATAAAGATAAACAACAGAGTCATAGTACTACAAATGTAAATATGTTAAGTGTTGCCAGTGATAAAAATAAATTAAATAAAAATAAAGAAAATGAATCAGAAAAAGACACAGCAATTGAAAAGAGAGAGAAAAATAAATCACCAGTAAATCAAACAATTATAAAAGGTATGTTTTTTTTAAGTTTAAATATAAAAACATCAATGTATTTACAGTTAGGTAGAAAATCCGACACAGTGCCGGTGTATCGCAACACTAGCCTTACTAAAATGTCAACGTTTATGTCCCCTCACTAATCATTCTGACACTTGACTTTGTAATAAAAGCCATTCTCGCTAAATGATTCTAACTAATAATGTCTAAAATTTGTCGAAACTAGCTGTCGCCTGCATCTCTGTCCGCACTGAATTATAAACATAATTAGTAGCCTATGCGTTCTTCCAGACTATGTTCTATATGTATGACAGATTTCATTAAGATCTGTTTAGCTGTTTTGGAGATACCTTCAAACAAACATCCATCCATCCATTTGCCATAATATTAGTAAGATATAGTCAACAGTTGAAAAGTGTAACCAATATCTGATTTTAATTGATTTAAAGCCTTATATACTGTATTTTAGGTGAATATAAACCTATAATAGAGCCTACACGTCGTCCTGAACAGTTTTTGAAAGTGGTGATACCACCGGGTGGCATGGCAGCGAAGCATGCTGCTAGCGCCCCATACCATATCTTTTATACAACTATAACTGATTCCAAAGAGACACACAGACAGACAAATTCTATTACATTTCTAGGTAAGATTACCAGAAAACAATATCGACTAGACAAAATTAGGATTTTTTCATTTTTTTAAATACTTACTAATTTTTTTTTCAATACTGCAATCACTAAAGGACAGTTATTTTCTATGTTTCTTTTTTAAATATGTGTGCTTTATCAGTATTAAAAAATGTAAAATTAAAAAAAAAAATCAAAGTTTCTAGCAAATATATTGTACATTAGTATGTTTAGTGTCAAAATTTTTTCACAAAAAAATTTTAGTTTTGTTTTAGAAAATTTTCTTAAAAAAAAATACCGAATATTTCTTGCAGAAATATTAGATCGAAGTTTGGGTGAATTGAAATGTTCTTTACAAATAAATTTCATGGTAGAACCTGGATGGTTACTCGCTCAGTATTATTTTGCTGGGTACAGGTGAGATATTAAACTGATATATAAACACGGCTAAACACTGACGTATATACGTCCGGTGGCACCGACTAGTTTCAAGCACATCGCAGACCCTTCATCAGGATGAGTGGTACTGGTATTATTACGCGGACGTGGCCCTCAGCTCACTGCGCGCTTGCGCTCTTAGGGCACGTCTTGAGGGGGCGGGGGGCGCGGGGTGCGCCGGCGTCGTCGACGATGTTGATACTAAAGCGTCGGTGGTGTTGTTGTTGAAGTTAATATTGATTAGACAATGTAGATGACTACTTTTTTTAGGAAAAAAAATCACAAAAGATGAGAGGATGCATGGAAAGGGAAAATATTTTTTCTTGCTGCGCATCCTCTCTCCTGTCGATTAAAGGTAGGCAACGCATATGCAATTGCGTATGTCTATGGGCAACGGTCACTTCGCTATTTCAGCGATTTCAGGTGGCTCACTCGTTTGCCATCTTATTATTTAAAAAAAAAACAAAAAAAATTGATTTTTTTTTGCTACAATTACGTGTTAATAAGTTACGTGCAAATAGTTTAGTGTAATTCAAAAGAGATTCTATTACTGAAAATCCTCGCAAAAGTAATTTTATATCTGTTTTTTTAAACACATGGACAGGGATGACATATTATACTTAACTATGAAATTTATAAACTAGCATACAACCCTCAAATTATAATAAATACTGTTCCCCGCAACTCTGTCCGTTCTTCCAGACTATGTTCTATATGTATGACAAATTTCGTCGAGATCCGTTCAGTCCTTCCAGAGATATCTTCAAACATCCATCTAAACATTCGCATTTATAATATTAGTAGTATTCTTATTCTATGTTAAATTTATGACATATGTTTAGTGGTAAAAAGTTAACAATACTCTATGGCGACGACTGCGCAGATATGAAGTCACTAAACAAGAAAAAACCGAATGTAGACGCACATTATGTGTCTATGGCCACACCGTTTGGAAAACATCACACGTGAGATATTTTAAACACAATTTTTTAACAAAAAAAATAAAAAAATCTTTATGACACTCCAAGGAATACAAATTTAGGTTACAAGTAAAAACTTTCCTCTTACTAATCGTGTAAAAAGTCAAAAGTAGTCTATGGTTGGTTTTTCACTTTTTGACAGCTCCGTTCCGTGTTCCTTTATACGCATTTTTTTTTATATATTTAAGATTATTTATAAAGGCAATGCTTTGAAAATTACTAAAAAATTAGCGATTTTTGATATCACAAAGTTTTAATATAAGCAACAAAAATAAAAACTTTATGTATTTCTTTTAAGGAAAATGATGTTATTATGTTATGAAGACGGTTCTCTAAGAGTTGTCGTGTCTACTGCTAATTTATATATTGACGATTGGGAAAATAGGACTCAGGGGTAAGATTATTTTGTTTATATTTATCTATTTTACATCATTGTAATTACATATACAACTAGCTGTCCCTTGCTATTCTATCCGCGTAAAATAAAAAAAAAACTTAATTATTAGTCTATATGTTCTTCCAGACTATGTTCTATATGTATGACAAATTTCATCAAGATCTGTTCAGTCGTTCTGGAGATATCTTCTAACATACATCTAAACATTCGCATTTATAATATTATTATGAATCTATGCTATCTTTATCCCGTGACTTTATATCTTCTTACAACTAAAGCTACTTATTGAAATTATAATATATTTTGTATCCATTATATTGATTTGCGTCGGTGGTTTAGGTGTCAAGCACTTGACTTGCAATCTACAGGTCCTGGGTTCGAATCCCGTCATGTACCAATGTGTTTTTCCATTTCCGATTTACATATGTACATTTATCCGACGTTATGATGAAGGAAAATGGTGATGCACATATCTGAGAAGTTCAAAGATATGTGTGAAGTCACTGCACTGGGCCAGCGTGGTTGACTATGGCCTAATCACCCTTAACTTAGGGTAGGCTCCGAGCCCCTTCGATGGGGATGTATAGTGAGCTGATGATGATGATGATTTCAATAGAATCTTTGAATTGTTGAAAGAATTTTGACAAAAAAAAATTGTAACAGCTTCTTATAGAGACAGAAAATAAAACTTTAACCATAGATTATATTATTTCAAGGCTATGGTTCAGTCCACAATGTCCCCCGCTTTCGGCAGAGTCTATGCCCCACGATGAGGAGTCCCCTACCCTGTTCAAGAGGTCTTTACTAAGATATTTACATCACTATCAAATGCCACAACTCAGTTATTACGTAGATTGGGTGAAAAGATGTGACTTTAGTCATATTAAGTAAGTATTTTTCCATTTTCATCTCTATGTTAGGGAACATACTCATACTACGTGACCCGTTTAGGGGGAAGGGGAGTCATTAGAATACTACGCTCAGTCACAGGAGCGGGGGGGGGCTCAGATTGTAGTCATATAGTCGTTACTTGTTTTTTTTTCATAATACATAATTCAATAGTAATTTAAGTATGCATGCAATCTTATGCTATAAAGAAGAGTATGAGCCAATTTTTTTTTGCAATTTTTGCCTGTGAAATGATTAAAAATCATAATTATGAATTACTACGTAAAAACTAAAGTGGGGAGGGTCTTGGCATGTACTACGAGTGGTCACCGAGGGGAGAGAGGGGTCGAAAAAACTAAAAAAATAGGTCACGTAGTATGGGTATGTTCCTTTATTTTGTTACAAGCTTTTATTTGGTTTTCTTCCAATGTTTGTCATCAAGTTTTGCAAATTAATCCACTTCTCGATTACTAATTGTGTTGAAATTTCACATACATATGTAAATTATGTGACAATGTAATATGATGACATGGTGTTGATCTGATGATGGAAATGGAAGGTGGTCTAGGAAGTACGCAATGAAACTACATAACTTTATCGAGTTTGGATTCGTTTGAATCGTCTTGAACTCATCTTGATGTTTGAACACTTAGCTCTAATTAAAAAGAACATAATAAAATCTTGTATTTACAAACTTAATTATTCCATCCTTATCTTATAAGGATGGGAAGGGGAACTTAATTTGATGGAATAGGGTACTCACAGGAAGGGAAGATATCTTTCTGTGCGTCTCCTCCGTATTAAAAGTAGGCAACGCATCTGCATCACAGATGTCTATGTTAAGCAGTCGCTTTTCAAACTTAAATATTTTGTTTTTCTAACTATATCCATAGGTCGCTGGTTCATATCCGGCTCGAAGGACCATATGTTGAGCGAGTAGACAGTATGATGATGTTATGAAAGACTGGTTGTGGCGGATGATTGTAATGCAAAATGATTATGAAAGCAAATATGATTTGATATGGATGTCGTGGCGCAACTGGTAGATGCAGAGATGAAGGGCGCGCGGGGCGGAGGGTGGGGTCTGTAAGGTTGTCCTCCGCACTGCTGCCCCGCCGTCGGTGCAGTAGTACCAAACACTAACATTAATCCATTTCCTTAGCGTATTCTTAGTGGCATCAGTTCCTGGTTCCCATTTCGATACAGAATGGGGTATGACTCGTACTGGTGCGTTACTCCGACAGCATTGTTGTGTACCGCCTGCAGAGAATACGAAGTGGCCATTAATAGCACAAGCCAGTAGTTTAGGGTCATATGGGAAAGAACCAAAGGTATGTACTTTTAGATATAGAATCATTTGTCGCGAATGGCTTTAGTTACAAAGTCAAGTGTCAGAATGATTAGTGAGGGGACATAAACTTTGATATCTTAGTAAAGGTAGTGTTGCGATACACCGGCACTGTGCCGGATTTTCTTCCTAACAGTAGTTTGATATTTACTAAATAAACAAGAAAAATAATTTAACTGTTTAAAAGATTGTGTCCAAAGTTTCTTATGGCATAAGATGAAAATACTCTTTTTTTAGCTACTTAAATTCGCTAAAATAGCGAAATGTAGTATTATGTAACAAGTTTAATGTATTTGTCTACCTTTAAGAGACAGAGGAATGTACAGGAAGAATATTCGCCTTGTACGTCCCTTCCCCTGTCAAATTCAGATCTGGATAAACGCGAATCTCTGGTTAGGGAGAAACCTTTAAAAGAAAAATATCCCAACTTACAGTTTACTTAAGAGTATTCCGCCTTATATGTCCCCTCCCCTGCCAAACTCAATGTTATTCTATAACTTAAGCTTGGAACATGGATAAGCCTCCTAAGAAACCTCTATAACTGAGAAACTTGGATTATAAAGGAATCTTTATAACAGAGAAAAATATCCCTAAAATCCTCGCATATTTAATTAGACTGTATTTAATATTATGTTAATTTATGTGATTCAACTAGTTATGGCTGACGGGAGATTTCCTGCATCACTTTACGAAGATAAAAGACCAGCCACAAATGCTGAGTACGCCTGCAGAACTGAAGCTCATATATCCTTCGTTAGGTAAGTTGCTAAAAGTACAGTCTAAGATTTTGTCAGTGGTCCTGGTACAACTATGGTCTACTGGTAGGAAATAACCTTAATGGTTCATAAGTTGAAGAAATGGTTCAGAAGTAGAGAAACCAGCAAGAATTTGATAGGGTTTTCTACTATAAAAGATTTTAAATGTCTGATCTTATGTATTAGTACATTTGCCTTTGTACAGTTTCATATTTTATTGAATTCACATAAAAAACTACAAGTAAAATAAAAATGTAACTAAAGAAAGAAAGAAGAAAGAAAGAAAAGTTTTTATTATGTTATAGGTAATACAGATTAGACCAAGAAACAATAACTAACATAATAAAATTGCACATAACTAAGAAATTAAATTAGACTTAAGTTACCATTTATCGTTAATTTGGATACAAATCTTCTGATGTATTAAGTATTTGAAAGTTTTATTAATCTATTTAGTAAGATATGGTTTTTTCTACGGTTTAGTCTATGTCTTATACTATTGTCATTAGAGAATGTAAAGCAGTCTCATGACGACTTACTTGGAGGTGGCTGCCTTCCATACGCCGCTGAAGTTCACTCAAAGCAACCCTGGCTAAATAACTTCTTATAGTGAGTTATCAATTTTATATATCGTTCTTTATCACCTAATATAAGTCACGGGCTTAAGCCAGCCATGAGTCACTCCAGGTCTTAATCCAGCCCTCATTTTCTTAAATGTGAAAGAAGAAGTTAACAGTGGTAGAGCGAGCTTTAACATGTTCGCACGAATTGTCCCGGCTCGTCCGGTGATATACCACGACCATACAGAAGACACGCGTACAGTCTGATGAGTGTGCGTCCCGGAGGTCTAATTTAGTCCTCTTTCCCTTTCCTAACTTTTTCTTATAAGGAAAGGATAGGAAGTGAAGTGGACTTTCCTGATGAGATGATGCATGGAAAGGGAAGATTTTCTTTCTGTGCATCCTCTCCTCAGTCGATTAAAGGTAGGCAACGCATATGCAATTGCGTATGTCTATGGGCAACGGTCACTTTGCTATTTCAGCTATTTCAGGTGACCGCTCACTCGTTTGCCACCTTATGATATAAAAAAAACACCGCGAATGGCTCTGACTGTACAAATATATGTTTTCGTGATAGCTTTAATTATTTTCAGTCAATGGCAAGCTAAATCTAATTATCGTAATAAAGCAATGCCGCATATAAAATCTTACACTCGTGTGTCACCGGACAACAAAATGGCGGCTTACTTTCTACTGACGTCAGCGAATGTCAGTAAAGCCGCATGGGGTACGCTGAATAAAGGCAATCGTGCGTTGAGGATCATGAGTTATGAAGCGGGAGTTTTATTTCTGCCAAAGTTTATCGTAAGTAGAACTAACTATCAAGCAATGATCTAAAAAAAAACTAATTTAGAGTATGCGTAATTCCAAACTGTAATATCTATGGCTATGTGTCAAATTTCATCTATAGTGTGTCGTATTTAAGATAGATAAGTTAGACAAGTGACTTGTGTATAAAATATCTAATTAATTTTGTATGAGAATTAATGTTGTACTTAATGTACGGTTGTCATAGTAACGAACTATCGAGAATATCTCTTCTGTTATAAAATTAATCCAACAAATGAGTAATGTGATTTAGTTATTTTATACATTTTTGAATTTATTATAATTATTTAACTATTTATCGCACAATTAATTTTAAAAAAAATCTTTTTGTTCGTCAACTCAGCAATTTTTGGTTTAATGTCTTATTTCTTTATATAGTTATGAAGGATAAAGTAGGAATAGAAAGAAACAATTTTATATATATTATAATTTAAAAACAATACCTCGTAATTTTCGATTGCAAGTTCTATGAGAACAGACATCGAAAATCGTTTTCACTCAACCCATATCTAGAAATGTCAAACTAATCTGTCTTAAATAGACACACTATACGCGTTATTCCAAACAGTAATCTACGTCTATGTGTCAAATTTCATCTAGATCTGTTCAGTCTTTCTGTATTAAGATATTAATAAACATACATCCATGCAAACTTTCATATTTATATGTATACTAGCGGACCCGACAGTCGTTGTCCTGTCTAAACGTCTTTAATTTGAATAAATTAATATGAAGTTAATATTTGATGAAAATTGTGAATCTAAACCATTCCCAGATCCCCTTGAACACACACAAAAAATTTCATCAAAATCGCTCCAGTCGTTTGAGATAAGTTCAGTGACATACACACTCACAGAAGTATTATATATATAAAGATAATTTGCGCACTTGCATATATACAACATTCCAAAAACCATAGATTATAAATATTTATTTTTTTGTAATTATTTTCCTTTATTATATTATAAAATAACAAGATTAATGGTTAATAAGATTTAGGTTATGTTCACAAATCAATATGGCGTCTTTTATCTGTCATTAACGAATTTAAAAGTTCGTACAAAACTCAACTAATTTTGACTATAAAATTAATTCTCTAAACAGTTTCTAAACTGACTAATTTTGAACAGAAATTTAGCTGTCAAATTTCACTATGTAATTTGAAGTTAACAGTATTTATAGTCGACATCAAAAAGGAGGTTATCAATTCGTCTGTATATTTTTTCCAGATAAATCAAGATTTATTTCCAATAGACAGGAACGCAACAAACAGACTAATTCTGCCTTACGATATTCCTCCCATTAAATACACGAGTGACATGTCACCATGGGTCTCTGATTACTTGTCAAAATAAATGATTTCTTTTGTTGTATGTTTTATTATACTGACCTTTACCTACGATTAAAAGACTTTGCTATAAACGGAAAGTAATTTGACATAGAAAGATTAACAAAGAGTTTTATTTTACGCATCCACAAGAAGGGAATGGAGATTAAAATTAGGCTTAAGGGCTCGGGCGCTAAGGGACGCATATCTTAATAGAATCATAGGATAGTTAATGTGACCGTTTATTTTTTAACTCTAAATGGGACATTGGGATATTTAGAGTAATAAAACTTTAAATTATTCAAACTTTTGTTAGACATTATAATAAACTGATATAAAAACGGCTAAACACTTACGTAAATTCGTCCGGTGGCACTGTCCAGTGAGCTGAGGGCCGCGTCCGCGAAATAATACCAGTACCACTCATCCTGATGAAGGGCCCCCGATGGGCTCGAATCTAGTCGGTGTCACCGGACGAATATACGTCAGTGTTTAGCCGTTTTTATATCAGTTTAATAAAAAATTATAAATATATATAGCCGAAAAGTTTAACTATATTTATCAGAGAAACAACTTTGCTTTAACCTGGGTATGAATAATATCTAGTGCTGATTGTAAAAATAACCTGTGAACACGGTTTTTTTTATATTAACAACGTGGTCTGAACTAAAATTTGAGCTGGGTTCTCTCGCCTTCACACATCGTTTAAATTTTCTCACAGTTTGAATTGAACGTCCCAGCATTCTTTTCGGGGACACTTGTGTAAGATGCGTCAATAAAACACTGCGGTCGGATGCCAACTGATTTATTACTTTCCAATAACTACCTTCATTATACTACACATCTCTCCCCTAATTAATAACATTTTGATAACATTTAAACTAAATTAGCTTTTCACTTAATATATATAAATATATATATATATATATATTTTTTTTTTGACATGTTTAAACTTGCATCTACTCTTTTTCCCTCCACCAAGTAAAATTAATTTTTCCCTTTACAACATTCAAGTTTTCTTTATATTAATATCCATATATATTTTCTTTTTGCTAATTTATATAATAAATAAAATCAAACAGAAAAAAAAATGGAACAAGAATGTGACTAAATTAAAGTGCCTAAAACTTTTTTTTTTTTTTTTAACTTTACTCCATCTGTTTCCTTCGCCATTCGCGACGAAGTGCTCTTTTAGTTCTCTCATTCAATTCTCCGGATAATGTGCTCACCTGGTTGGAACTTCCGGGAACCACCAAGGTGCTACCCTGAGCCTCTACTGGCTCCGCCGTCTCAGTGGCCGGCACAGACGCAGTGTCCGCGTAATTGTCGGGCTGCGGCTGTGCCTCCGTGTACGCATCGTAATCAATATCTAAAGTAACACCTTCATAATCGTTATTTCTATTTCGCGGTCTCGTGTTGACGTACTCATCAATGTTGCTATAATTATCCGATTCGTTTACTATGTCCCATGAAAACCTATTGTTGCCGAGAGGTAAAATCTGGTCCGTGTGTCGTCGGTGCACCCCCCCATCATTATTTATAATTTTATAAGACACCGGACCGGTTTGTTGTAAAATTTTCCCTTCGACCCACTTCTGACTATTCGTTGAATAATTTCTCGATAATATTTTATCCCCTACATTAAAGTTCCTAGCTAGTCCCGAGGAGTTGCGTATTTGTTTATCCTGCACTTCCTCGACTATTTTTGCGGTGCTCGGGCGCATCGCGTCCAGTCTGTTCCGCAAGCGATGTCCGAGGAGCGCCACTGCGGGCGCCACGCCTGTCGTTGCATGCTCACAATTTCTATACTGCATTAGGAACCGATATAAACTAGTGTGTATGTCCCTACCTTCTATAACGGCTTTCTTAATAGTTTTTTTTTACTATTTTTACACAATTTTCGGCTGCGCCGTTACCTTGCGGTCTATAGGGTGAAGAGGTTATGTGGCGTATCATGTTTCTATCACAAAATTCTCTAAATTCCGCACTTTGAAACGGAGGTCCGTTATCCGTTACGAGCTTATCCGGTAGGCCGAACCTCGCAAATAAACTTCTCAAAAACTTTATGGTGTGATAGGCCGATGTACTACGTATCTCCTCCGCCTCGAGCCACTTACTATGAGCATCCACTACGATGATATAATACTTGCTGTGCAACTGAGCAAAGTCAGCGAGCAGTCGCTGCCAGGGCGCTGCGGGAAACTCCCAAGGATGCAGTGTGGCGCGCGGGGGGGCGTCGCGTACGCTGCGACACGCCTCGCACTTGTTCCCGACCAATTCGATGTCTTTATCGAGTGCCGGCCAATAGACATAATTCCTAGCGATGGACTTCATTTTTACAATGCCTAAATGACCGTCGTGAATTTCTAACAACACGCGTTTCTGTAATATTTGCGGAATCACCAGACGATATTTATACAAAATACAACCATGATCAATATATAAATCTGAGCGCCTAACATAAAAAGCCTTTTCATCATCTGCACGATGTGGTTTACCACATCTCCAACACGGCTGCTGTGCCGCAGACGGTCGCGCCGCCGCGGCCGGCCCGCCGCGCAGCGCATGCAGCGGCTCGCCGCCCGCCTGTGAAAAGCCGTCGCTTACGACCGCGCTGACCGCCGCCGCCGCTGTCGCCGCCGCCGCCACGCTGTCGCCGAGGTCCCCGGAGCGCGCAGCACCGCTCACGCTGACGCGGCCGCTCACCCGCTCCACGCTTCTCCGTGGCTTCCAAATTTAGAGCTAGCTCCACCGCCCGTTTGTAGGTTAATTTCGCATCAAATAGCAATCGTGATTTAATTTCCGTGCTCCTCAAGCCCGTGACAAATTGCTCACATAAGTTTTCTTCTAAATTTTGTGCAAAATTGCATGACGAAGCCAAATGTTTTAATTGTTGCAAAAAATCGCCGATGCTTTCTTCTGCCTTTTGTCGCCGTTGTCGAAACATCTCCCTTTCGGCGTACACCGAACGTTGCGGTTCTACGTGGCTTTTTACAATATGCACTAACTGTTCGAACGTTTTATCCTCCGGTCTATCTGGTGCACACAAGTCACACATCAAATTATATGTCCGGTCGCCTACCAAGGTCACCAACGTGGCGACCCGATGCGTCTCCTTTATGTCATTTAGAAATATAAATTGTTCTACACGTCGTACATATGTCGTCCATTGTCCGGAAAACAAATCAAACGGTTCGATTTTACCGAAAGGCATATTAGCACTTTAGTAATTATCACGCACGCGTAAAAACAATAACCCGCCTCGTCGCCAGTGTAAGATGCGTCAATAAAACACTGCGGTCGGATGCCAACTGATTTATTACTTTCCAATAACTACCTTCATTATACTACAACTTGGACTTGTAACTATAAAAAGGGACAGTCCCGTTCAAAACGGACGTCTGGTTACGTTAATGATGGCACTCGGCAAACATTACCCACTTCACAGTGGTAGAGCCCGCTTTAACATCTTCGCACGAATTGGCCCGGCTCGCCCGGTGATATACCACGACTATATAGAAGACACGCCTCAAGTGGAAGCAATTCCAACTACACGCTGATGAGTGTGCATACCGGAGGCCTAATTTAGTCCTCTTTCCCTTCCCACCCTTTTTCTTATAAGGAAAGGATGGGAAGTGTAAGTTGACTTTTCGGATGAGAGGATGCATGGGAAGGGAATATGTTTTCTTTCTGGGCATCCTCTCCTCCGTTGATTAAAGGTAGGCAACGCATATACAATTGCGTATGTCTATGGGCAACGGTCACTTCGCTATATCATCGATTTCAGGTGACCGCAAAAACAATTACCCTTCACATTCGTGTAATTAATGGAATATTTTCATTTATAAATTTTATCTGTTGTAATTGACTGAAATATACTCTGACCAGTTTATATTCGGTCCATTGAATTCTTACGTAAAGTATTATATAGGCCCCAGTTTAATTAACAACGTACATTGTTAGATTGTACATCAAACACACACAATGTGGGTGAGTTTCATTCAATTTGTTATAATACATAAACTTATTTAAATAAATAATAAATACTTCGAGAAATTGACTTAATTAGGGGGCTTATCCATTGCATTGCTATGATTCGAAACCTTCCCTAATTCAACGAACATTGATAACCTAGAGATGAGCTAACGGTTCACATATGTGAACCAGATCAGTAAACTAACAAATTAATTCAATTTTTACTTGCATAGACATTATGATTTTCATTTTGAGCTGCGAGTCGCCAGCTATGAACTGTTAGCTGTCAAATTAGTTGTCAAGCAACTCAACAGTTCACCGTTTCATATTTATATATAGCTACAGATTAAAAAACAGTTTCTTTTTTTTCTTTTTAAGTGTAGAGGAAAGTTTTGTTTTCGATTATGTATTATTTTATTTTCAGTTCATATGTTTAAGTTTAGTGACATTCGCCTCAGTGATACGAGGTGAGGATAGTGAGTACTACGCTCCGCAGACATTTAAACAGGTAAATATAAATTCATCAATTAATTTACGTTTAGAAACTTATTATAGTATTTGTAATAAAAATGACCTTGAGCCTTACCGAAACCGAACTCTATAAATGGATAGGCGATTGCTTGGAAATTACTGCTTTTGTTTCGTTCTTAAACGCGCCTGTTGATGTTACTTGACAGTTAATTCTATCTATATTAGTTCAAATCCGCACCACCGCTACAAACCGTTACCATCAGCGCCAAAATGGCGGCACTCAAATAGGCACAAAATACTATGAGATATAGCCAGTCTATTAATAGAGGTGTGTGATTTCCGTGTTTAGATTTATGTTGCCGATTTCAGACGATAAATATTATTATCTCGATCTCGATTTATGCAAAAACAATAAAAAGCGTGATAATAAGTCATTTGTACAAAATATTTCTAAATTAAAAACATACCATTTAATTTCATGTCAATTAAAACAAATTTGATATGCAATAAATTAGAAGTTTTCTTTCAAAATTATTTTTGCATCCGTTACAAAGCCATTAAAAAAACTAAAAATTATTTCTCAATATATCCTGCGACCTGCTCAATTATAATGCAATAGTTTAAAATATATTGGTTAACAAAAACAGATAACTTACACACGAAAATAATTGAAAAACTGGGTTGTTAATGTAATAGATATGTCAAAACAAAATTGGCGCGAACTAGCCATGTGTGACAATTACAAGATGGCCGACACTCGCGGATTTCAGTTAATTATTTGAGGTTAATTGCTTTACAGTGATTATTGAGTCTGTGGTGAAATTCGTCCTGCTTTCTTTTTTTCATAATCTTTCGTCATTGATTTTATCACGTTCATAGATTCTTGTGCAAACAAACTACAATATTGGTTTTAATTACATCGGAAAGGCGGGAAATATGTAGTCGTAATATAATACTTGTCGTCTACACGTTTTTGATTATGAATGTGTCATTTTAACTAATGTATGCAACGGTTTATATAATCTAGGCGTCTCAAGGTCATCTACGCGCTGCGCAGTGCGTCCCTAAGACACAACACACGTAAAATTATGTTCTGTGTAGCGACTCGCGCAAAGTTAATGCCGCCAAGATATCTAAAAAGACTATCTAAAAACATCCTATTGTGCATATTAATTAAGAAATAACCAACTTTACACTACTCCAATACACAAATATTAACCCAATGCACTATTTTGTAGGTTTCAAATTCGATTTTTGAATCTTTATTTTTGAATTAAAAAGCATGTAAAAGCACGCTAAAACAAACACGGTGACGTAAGGACAAGAGAGAAAGAGAGCCATAGAGAAGCTGAGAACGTCAAAGAGTATAAAACGATATACTTTGAAATCTTACATAAATGTTTCGTTAGTGGGTTCAGGACAAGCTAATTGCTATTTCACGCGCATTACGACCATCGCAGATCGAGTCGACAGAACTTTTCCAACCGGTGTACCAGCCCTGGAGCGATGTTATAAGGAATCAGAAAATAGTAAGCTTCGCTTAAGATGGAATTACCTCATTCTTAACGGTTACTTAAAGCAATATTAACTTGATTTCTGAGATTAAAATCTCTATATAAAACATATCATCATCCCTGTCATTATCTCCGATAAAATAGAGATGGCAATATGTTTCAAAACGAGGAACTTGGTGTCAGAAACTCACGGCTAATGAGCACTCGCATGAAAATCACTTAATGTCTCTGATTTACGATAGATGTTACAACTTACTATGGTACTCTATTTTTTTAAATCCAAAAATAGTTTTATCTACTCAATAATAGATGGCGCTAGTGTTTATTTTATGATATTATAGACAGATTCCTACAATAAGGCTGCGTTCACACCGGCTCAGAATGACGTCACTCCGCAGAGTTCCAACCCACAGTCTTGGAGACCAGGCCCTTCTAGCGATGATTGGAAAGGTACTCAAATATACTTGAATATGATCTTAACTTGGTTAAATAACAAGTAGAATCGACAATAGCCTAATGGTTAAGGGTATGGATTTCCGACCAACTTCGAATCCCGCCATTCGATGCTCGTAAACCATATCCTAGCACAAGCCTAGGGCTTAATTGGGGAGGTACAAGAAATATTAGTAAATAAATACGTCCGTAGTCTCTGCCTATTTGGGTTACAGGCGTTGAAGTTGTTGAAGATAATACTTAATAGAATCAGGAAAAGTTAAAAAATACTGAACAGATTTTAAGAAATGTTACATTTGTCATTTAGGTAATAAAATTGGTAAAATAACGTTATAATTTACAGCACCAGACCAATGGGTACGCAAAGAACAACAAGCTTCTATATTACATCATAAGCAAGCACTGACATCAGGTAAGATAATTCTAAGCAAGTATTTATAACCTAAAATCCTTAGAAGTATTTCTATTAATCACTAGATGGCTCTTTTTCAAAATTTTTGATAGTTTTCTTTTTTTTAAGTGAAGAATTAAACATTCTGCCAAAAAGTTGGCATACTGGCAACTAAGAACCTTTGCCTTTATAATTATGAAAAAAGATAAATGAAGAATCGCGCGGGAATTCAAAATGTCAACAACAAAATGTAGAAATTTAGTTTGTTGCAACTAATAATATAAATCTTACTAATATTATAAATGCGAATGTTTAGATCAGTCTTACCCAAAGTGGGCGATAACGCCTCATTGTGGGCGCTGCAGGTCTCAAGGGGGGCGGTAAGAGATCCAGAAAGAAAATGGGGGCGTTGTGTAGAGGCGTGGGGGGTGATTTGTAATTTTATTTAGATAGGAGGCCTCTTAGACAACGACTGCATGAGCTCTCGACTCTCAACAACAACTTGTGAACATCAACTAATATGAATTAAAAGATAGCTTAAACTCTAATATGGGGGGCGCTAAAAAAATATTTATTCTCAAAGTGGGCAGTAGAAAAAATAAGTTTGGGAACCACTGGTTTTTATGGATGTTTGTTTGAAGATATCTCCGAAACGGCTGAACGGATCTTGATGAAATTTGGCATAGATTTAGAACATAGTCTGGAAGAACACATAGATTACTTTTAAAGTTTTTTGCTTGAAGCAGTTAGATCTGTAATCCCATCAAGACTATTGGTACTACAATTTTTTATCAACAATAGATGGCGCTTATTAATTATTTATTCCTATCAATAGATGGCAGTTTTAGATTCGAGTACGCGTCAGACAACGGTCTGGCGGCCGGCGAGGTGATAGAACCAGACGGGTCTCGTGTCGGCGCCTACCAATACAAGGATCCTTCCGGACAGCTTGTCAAACTCAAGTATAGAGCTGGAAAGGAAGGATTCCAGGTAAGGAACACAAGGAATCACTTGGTATTGATTTTTTTAATTGCTAAATAGTGATAAATACGTCTATAAAACACGTTGGATATTTTAGGATTTGTCAGAGGAATTTGATTTTTTTTATGTCAAAATTTATTTTTAATATTCCTACTTTAATGGTTACAGATTTTAGAAGGCAGTCATCTACCCCAGAGTCCTCAACCGCAGCAACCAGGTAATTCTCAAATAAAAATCGAATTCAGTGTAAAACAAAAAAAGGCCATTTTTGTATGAATCCTTAAATATCTTTTTTAATATTGGCAATTTAACTTCACGTTGCATATTTAATAAAAAAATCAATCTTAACCGTAGGTTTCTGAGACGAAAATCTGTATAAAACGTATAGTCATTCCTGTCATCTTTAACAATCTTTTAAACGGGTATTTTGGTCAGAAATCCATGATAAGTAAGCTAGAAATTACTATAATAAATATAAAAAAGTTGTCGACCCCTGAAATACTCCCTTACAGTTGGTTTCTAAGACCAAAATATCTGTATAAAACATATCGTCATCCCTCTCATTATCTGTGACAAAACAGACATAACTATATTTTAAACGAAGATTCAAGTCTAAACCCATGTTATCATGGGTTAAGACTTGAATCTCCGTAAGCTATAAATTTCTTAATATACCTCAAGTTAGTCTATCCCCGATATAGTACATTAATATTAAAATTGACGCAGATAACTACTATCAAAATGCGTACGCGCAACAAAAACAGTACGATCAGCAGCAATATACCCAAAGACCAGAGACCAGCCAGGACTGGACTCCACAGAATCAGGTACGCTCATCTGATGACGTCACGAGTTTGTATACATTTAGAAAGCAAACCTGAAAAGAGTTTTAATAGTATAAGATCCTTTTTCCACTAAGCTAACAAGTCTAACGTCATGCGACTATTTATACGTGTACCATTTCTACACTATGTGCCCGCGACCCCGTCCGTAATTTAAAAAAAAAACCTTAATTAGTAGTCTATGTGTTCTAGACTATGTTCTATATGTATGACAAATTTCATCAAGATCCGTTCCGCCGTTCTGGAGATATTCAAATAAACATCCATCTAAACATTCGCATTTATAATATTAGTAAGTTAAGAAAAATCGTAAGAACAACGCTCGGTAATCGCTTTAGAGCGAGACAAACGTATATATTTGACATAAGTTTGTCTCTTTCTGAAGCGTTCCGGCTTACTTCGATTAGTTGAAAAGTAGTCGTTTTTAAAACGGTTATTGACTTAGTTACAACGCCATCTATTATTGAAAAAAAAAACTTTATTTAATTTATTAAACAGGCTGCCAGTGGCAGTCAAGGAGCTGGTGGACAGTACTACAATCAGAATTGGAAGTCAGATAATCAGGATGGCCATGTAGGTATTATAATAGAATTTTTTAAATTTCTTTTTTTTAACCTCATAACCTCATTTGAAAAACTGCGGTCGCCCGTGTCTGTCCGCGGAGAATTAAAAGAAAACTTAGTAGCCTAAGTGTTCTTCCAGACTATGTTCTGTATGTCAAATTTCAATTATGCAGCAGTTCTGAAGATACCTTCTAACAAACATCCATCTAAACCAGTCTTTCGCAAAGTGTGTGATAACGCCCCCTTGTGGGCGCTGCAGGTCTCAAGTTGCGGGGTATAGTAAAAGTTTCCTTTACAATTCTCCGTTAATATACATATATAGGTCACAATAATTAATTTAATTTGAAGTTATAGTGGTTTTTAAATATGTGAAAATATGGGGGGCGCTAAAAAATATTTATTCTCAAAGTGGGCAGTAGACAAAATAAGTTTGGGAACCACGGTTTTAAACAATCGCACATATAATATTAGTAAAATTTCTTTATTTCAGTACCGAGACAACGAGCTAATGGAACATAGACCTCATTCGTTCGGCGGAGGTTACGCGTTTGCTTTCAAAGGATAAAGATGGCGCTGTAAAACATTGGCGAAAACAAAACCTTGTTTAAATAAAAATTATATAATCCTACAAGTTTTTTAATATCATTGCTTCTTTTAATTAAATTCTATTCTTAAAAAAATAAAAATTTCATATAAAATAAAAACCGTTACAAACCGCAACGCTCGAACTGCCGCGCTTTAAAATCAGTGCTGCCAATCTAGTGAACAAAAATATTAGAAAGAGACAGTATACTGAAGAGTAAAAGAGATGAATACCGGAAACAATTGACATTCAATCAAGTAAATTGTCCATGAAATGAAAGACGATTTAGTTCATATACCCACATTTTATTAACATATATATTAGCAAAAATATATCACAAATATAATGTTTAAATAAAGTTTAAACTATTTAAAAAATAACACACAATTTTTCAAACTATTTAATAAATTAATTTTAAGAAAAAAAAGTATATTAAAATTATATGAGACATTAAAATAAGAGTAAAAATAATAAAACAAATGAACTCACCATATTACATTGGCTTTTATCCTTATAATTACGCTAAAATACGATTATATATGGCGATACATTTAAAAGCTTTCAAAATGTCACTAAAACTATCACAATATTAATATTGTTCTATATTTTGGCGGGAAAACTCCACTAATAACTAAAATATATAAGATATAAGAAGAATATTGTATATTTTACAAAGATTTTATTTATTACTAGCGTACACACAGCTCGGAGCTGGATTTATTCAGTTAATACTGTCGACACACTAACAAAAACATAGTCATCTCTTTCATTTGCATAGAGAAAAGTGAGATGACAATATGTTTTATTGGTTGTATCGACGGCGAAAACTCAAACTTATTACTTAAAGATTACGTCTTAATATTTATTCTGAATAACTGAATGAAAACAAAAAAGAGAATAAAAAGAATAATTCGACTTATTTTAACTATAACATAATAATTCTAAACTGAACATTCAATAAAACACTGGCTGAAAATAAAAGTCGTCACAGACAAAAAAAGTTAATGTCAATGTCAAAATGACGTTTAAAATAAAATTATTACGAAAGAGTTTTTATTAATAATATCTTGTATCTTTATAGTTTTGTGCTTAAATGCTATTTGAAACATTCAGACAAACAAAATACTTAGTAATATTAAAGATTACAAGTTTTACAGGACCCATTCCAGCTATTGTATATTATACAGAAATCAAATATGAATAATCAATGAATATGGTAGGCGATAAGCGATCGTAATAATAAAGCGATAGCCTCATCATCATCAGCTCACTATACGTCCCCACCGAGGGGCTCGGAGCCTACCCTAAGTTAAGGGTGATTAGGCCATCAACCACGCTGACCAAGTGCAGTGACTTCACACATATCTTTGAACTTCTCAGATATGTGCAGCATCACGATGTTTTCCTTCACCATAACGTCGGATAAATGTACATATGTAAATCGGAAATGGAAAAACACATTAGTACACGGCGGGATTCGAACCCAGGACCTGCAGATTGCAAGTCAAGTGCTTGACCCCTGAGCCACCGACGCTCTTATATGAGGTTATAGCATAATCACCCTTAACTTAGGGTAGGCTCCGAGCCCCTCGGTGGGGACGTATAGCTGATGATGATGGTAGGCGATGTGAAATTTGAATGTCTTAATGAACTTTACTACATCTACATTAAATATTTATATAAATCATGTAAATATCGAAAGATTTTGTAATAAACACGAACATCTAATATTGGAAGATATGGTGATTATTTTTAAAATCTACAAACTACATCAAACAGCTACTATTATTGCTCAAAGACAAGTTATTACTAATAATATTGCAAAATAAATTGTCTATGGTATGAATTTATATCGACCGTTATAGATTATCTGTGCAGCCATACACAGATAAAGAAAACGTGTGTTTTCGTTGATTTAATTTGTTGAAAAAAAATACTTAAAAATATCCAGACTTGCTAAGACGCGGTTGAATAAGATCGAATGATATTCTTTTACAGTAATATAAATAGAAAACATGTTTTTCTTTATAAAAAAAGGAATAAATAGTATCCTATGTCCGTCTCCTGGCTCTAAGCTACCTCGTCATCAATTTTCAACCATATCGGTAAAGCCGTTCTTGAGTTATAAATAGTGTAATTAACACGACTTTCTTTTATATAGATTGACAAACATCCATGCGGCAACCTGAATTCGCCGCGTTAAAGCGACGCGTTGCCATTAGACATCTACAATTGCAGATGCGTCGCCTACCTTTAATCGATGGAGATGCGTCTATTTGATATTTCTTCCTCAATCAAATCCACTTTCCAATCCTATCTTTTCCATAAAAAAGGATGGGAAATGAGGCTTAAAATACTCGTAACGAAAACACGCGTCAAAATAGATTCCGTACCATTGACATTTGAAGCCATATCTATAATTTTTGCTTTACATTTTTACTAAACTACTGATTTAAGCGGATATATGTAGTCATTATTTTACTAATATAAATTATATAGTAATTCAACATATATATTTACTAACTATCGCCCGCGATTCCGTCCGCGCGGAATTAAAAAACTTTTGGTCGCAACGTAATGTTATATAGCCTTAAACCTTTATAAATGGACTATCCAACAAAAAAAGAATTCTTCAAATCGAACCAGTAGTTAATAAGATAAGCGCATTTAAACAAACTCTTCCGCTTTATAATATTAGTACAGATAATGAATTATGACATTAGGCTATATGTTATTCATATTTTGTCGTATGTTGATGAAAACCATTCATATTTGATTTAATATGATACTATGATGATTAAAAGTTTAATAAATACTAGCTGTCGCCCGCTACTCCATCCGCGTGAATATATAAAAAAACATAATTAGTGTAGCCTATGTGTTCTTTGAGACTATTTTCTATACGTATGCCAAATTTAATCGAAATCCGTTTAGCCGTTCTAAAGATATCTTCAAATACCCATCCATCTACATCACATCCATCTAAACATTCGCATTTATAATATTAGTAAGTTAAATAAAAATCAGCTCTTCAAATGAATAAATAGTATCCTATGTCCGTCTCCTGGATCTAAGCTACCTCCTCATCAATTTTCAGGTATATCGGTAAAGCCGTTCTTGAGTTATAAATAGTGTTACTAACACGACTTTCTTTTATATATATAGGTATTAAAAATATATAGGTTATTTTTGATTATGTTAAAAGATATTTTAAATTAGGAATCTACTTCTTTAAACCGATTAAAGTGCTGTAATAACGTGACAGAGTATATTAAAAATGGTACGTACCAATAAAAACTTGTTATTAATATAACTTACTTTATATGTTGTTCAAATTATATATTTATTGTCTAAAACACATTATTATTATTGTTTTTATATTAAAAAATATTGTCAAAGTCACGATTGCTGATGATGATTTTATTAAAGGTAATAAAGATTAATAATGCCAGTCTTTCCCAAAGTGTGCGATAACGCCACCTTGTGAGCGCTACAGGTCTCAAGTTGCGGGTTATAGTAAAAGTTTCCTTTATAATTCTCCGTTAATATACATATATAGGTCACAATAATTAATTAATTTAATTTGAAGTTATAGTGGTTTTTAAATATGTGAAAATATGGAAGCGCTAAAAATATATTTATTCTCAAAGTGGGCAGTAGACAAAATAAGTTTGGGAACCACCGGTTTACACTAACATAAAATAGCATTACTAGCATTACTTGTTATTTTGGATAATCTAGTGATGGCCACAATATACAATATTCTGTCGGTCTGACAGTTTTCGTTTTTAATTTTTTTTTATTTAAAAAACAGTAATAAATACGCGACTAGAAATTAATACTGACTGATTGTAAATCATTAAAGATAAGTGAAGATAATTAAATTAAAATTGAAAATTGGTCATAAATTATATATAGTTTCTAATATAATATAGTCTTAACTACAGTAAACATATATTTCCTATATATTATATGTAAAATACGCATTTTAGTAACTAACATGCACTAGATTTTTTTTATATTTTTATAATTTTTTTGTTTTTTTTGTAGAATTTTCAACAAAATACAGCATTTAAGTATATAATACTATATATAGATATAATAAAATATCATTTCGTTTAATTTGTTTGTTTAAAAAGTTAGAAACGGGCGGGTTCCAAGATGGCGGTCATGCGTCTATTCTTCTTCCTCATTCTGATAAGTCACATAGCGTACAGATGATTTGTCGCTTATAATTAAACTCTAGAAGATAAAACATAATATAGTTAATATTGCAAACTATTATTGAAAATAGAAGACATTATAAATTAGAATCATTTGACGCGAATCGCTTTCGTTACAAAGTCAAGTGTCAGAATGATTAGTGAGGGGACATAAACGTTGATATTTTAATACTAGTGTTGTGATACACCGGCACTGTGTCGGTTTTTCTTCCTAACAATAATATACTAATAAACCTGACTGATTGTAGATTGTTTTATTGGGGAATTTGGTATATTTATCAATCAAACTAGCGGTTGCCTGCGAGTCTGTACGCGCGGTATAAAAAGTTCTTCCAGACTATCTATATGTATGCCAAATTTCAGTAAGATCCGTTCAGAAGTTCTGGAGATACCTTCTAACAAACATCCATCTAAACATTCGCATTTATAATATTAGTAAGATTTAAAACTAACAAAATATAAATTATGAATTACAAATTAACAGATTTCATTCATAAAATGTTAGTTCAACTCCAATCAATTCCAAATTAAGTTCATCTTGATAACTAAAATATTTTAATGTCTCTTTCAAACGTCATAAAAACGTTGAATAAATATTCTTGTTTTAAAATTAAAAACAGCGCCATCTATGATTAGGTAAAAACATTTCTAATATCTTACCTGCTTCTCATCTCTAGCCGGTGGAGACCTCAACATCAACAGACAGGGTGCGTATGCAAAGTTCAGTAGTGCAATGATGACCAGCATCCATTCAAATCCAATACTGTTTACTAGGGCACCAGAGAATGCAGGACCTGAAAGTCAATCAAATGACATGA